TTTTACTACAGTGGTAGGTAGCTTAGCATAGCTGTGAGGGCTCTGCAGATAAGGAGGGCCTCTGTAGCTGGAGGGCCTCTGCCAGCTGGAGGGCCTCTGCTAGCTGGAGGGCCTCTGCTAGCTGGAGGGCCTCTGCTAGCTGGAGGGCCTCTGCCAGCTGGAGGGCCTCTGCTAGCTGGAGGGCCTCTGCCAGCTGGAGGGCCTCTGCTAGCTGGAGGGCCTCTGCTAGCTGGAGGGCCTCTGCTAGCTGGAGGGCCTCTGCTAGCTGGAGGGCCTCTGCTAGCTGGAGGGCCTCTGCTAGCTGGAGGGCCTCTGCTAGCTGGAGGGCCTCTGCTAGCTGGAGGGCCTCCGCTAGCTGGAGGGCCTCCGCTAGCTGGAGGGCCTCCGCTAGCTGGAGGGCCTCCAGAGATAGTTCTCAACAATTTAAAATTTACTGATGTTTTGGAGAAATTTGTTTCCAAGAAATTATGCAAAGCAAATTTTTCAATTTTAATAGTGGTTAGCCTTGTGAAAATAAATTTAATATTTCTTTAACATTTTTCCTTTTGAAAATATCACTGAAGGCCTCACAGTACATGTAGCCCACAAGTCTACAAAATCTTAATCCGGTGGCCCGGTGGCCTGGTGCGGCCCGGTGGCCGTGCTGGTGGCCCGGTGGCCTGGTGGCTAAAGCTCCCGCTTCACACACGGAGGTCCCGGGTTCGATTCCCGGCGGGTGGAAACATTTCGACACGTTTCCTTACACCTGTTGTCCTGTTCACCTAGCAGCAAATAGGTACCTGGGTGTTAGTCGACTGGTGTGGGTGGCATCCTGGGGGACAAGGTTAAGGACCCCAATGGAAATAAGTTAGACAGTCCTCGATGACGCACTGACTTTCTTGGGTTATCCTGGGTGGCTAACCCTCCGGGGTTAAAAATCCGAACGAAATCTTATCTTATCTTATCTCTGGTAATGGGAAACCTCTCGTAAGCCACATTCCCTCACTAAGCCACTTATAGTACAATGTTTGTACAGAGATAGGTGACATTTAGGTGTGCATGCAGAAAGCCCTTTAATATGCAGAGCATTTCATGCAAACTTAAGCCTGTCTCAAGATTAATAAGGCATTACCTAATTCATTGGTTATATATATGTTGTAAGATAAGATAAGATAAGATTTCGTTCGGATTTTTAACCCCAGAGGGTTAGCCACCCAGGATAACCCAAGAAAGTCAGTGCGTCATCGAGGACTGTCTAACTATTTCCATTGTGGTCCTTAATCTGTCCCAGGATGACCCTCGTCACTAACCTCAGTACTACTTGCTGCTAGGTGACAGGACACATTAAGGAACGTGTCAATGTTCCACCCAGGGATCGAACCGGCACTCCTGTGCTGAGCGGGATTTAGCCACCAGGACCACTGCTGCTAGGTTGACAGGACAAATTTGGATGTAAGGTGTGTGTTTCACCTGCTATGAGTGTGCCTTTGTCTTAAGGAAGAGCTTTTATTAGTTGTTCGATTAATCCCCAGGTCATAAATCAGGCAAGGGTGGGCTTAAACCATGGCAAGTGTGTAGCAAAAATTGGATGCAAGTGAGTGCTAAAACTCATGTCAAGTGAGTGGCAAAATCATGGCTAAGTGAAGTGCTTAAATCATGGCATTGTGAGTGCTAATACCATGCAAGTGGTGCTAAAAATCAGGCAAGGATGTGCTTATAAACTCTGCATGATGCTAATCATGGCAAGTGAGGGCTAAAACTCATGGCAAGTGAGTGCTGCAACTCACGGCAAGTGCATTAACCACTGAGCCACCTGTCTACAATAAGATTTATCCAGTTAGGTATATTTCTATACACTGTAGGGAGGTTAGTATGGGCCACCACTGGGACCTTCAATGTAGGTTTTCACAGAAAAATCCCACACACATGGCCACCGTGCCATGCTCTAGCTCAAGTTCCATGAGAACTTCTGTGTTATTATGATTTCATGCCCTTTGTCAAGGGTTGATATAGCTTAGAGTGCTGGAAGCTTGTTTAAGCTGCGTTTCTTCAGTGTGAACCTTCAAGATAGCATTTTTTCACCACTACCTTAGGCCATGGAAGAGCATCAGAAACTGTTCCAGGTTAAATATAGAGGAGGGCCCCATTTTTGTGGCTGTTATGTTCCCAACCCTCGCTGATAAGTGAAAATCTCCAGCAAGTGGAAAAGAGCGGCTCTTTTAATATTGAATGTGTCTAAAATGCCTGATAACATGCTTACTCTATCATATATAAGTGCTTAATATAGCTAGGTATCAAAAATGCAAAAAAAAATACACAATACACACAATATTTACCTTAAAATATGGTACCAGTCACCCTTCCTTTACAAAAACAGGGAAAAAACAAAATAAACATCAAACATAGTGAAAAATGGGTCAATTGAAAACTGCTAAAAAAGAGGGACACTAAAAAAAGGGAGATGAAAATGCAGATCCTTCTTGTAATGCTATGGTTAGGATTTTTTTATTTTATTGTATTTATTGTAAATGAGGAAGAGCAGGGGACCAAGAACACTTCCCTGCGGAACTCCAGTATCAAGTGGCCGTGTTAATGAGGCTGTGTCTTAAATGGTGATATACTGATACCTATTAGTAAGGTAGGATTTGAAATATGCAAGCGCATATTTCTAGATGGGGTAGTGAAAGAAGTTAATACATACTATGGTATTGGAAAGGGTGTGTGGGATAGAAAGATGTTGGATCTGCCCAAAATATATTACATACTAGCGGCTTTCTTTTGTGCCTGCCAATGTTTTATTACATGTAAACTACATCATTTGTATTCCATAAATAAATAAAAATTGTATTGTATCTAGTACAAAGTTGGAGCTATCGTAGTTGAAGTTTGCTGATGATACAGTTCTTTTGGGATATTCTGGAAACAAATTATAGTTGTTGGTGGATAAATTTGGAAGATATAAGAAGGAAATTAAAAATAAATCTAGAAAAGAGCAAGGTGATGAGGGTAACAAAAATCCTAGGCTATGATAGATTGAATATCAGATTGGTGGGAGGGGGTATAGAAGAAGTGAATATAATTAAATATTTGAGAGTGGACATGTCAGCAGATGGATCTGTAAAAGATGAGGTGAAAAATAGAGTAGGTGAGGGAAAAAAAGAAAGGTAATTGGTATGTTGAGATATCTGTGGAAAGTAAATTTATCTATGGAGGCAAAGAGAATGTACCAGAGTATAGTGGTACCAACATATTTATATGGGTGAGGCACAGATTTTGAATGGTGCAGCAAAAAGGAGACTAGAGACAGCAGACATGTCATGTTTGAGAGTAATGTCTGGTATCAGTATCATGGAGAAATTCCTAGCATGGAAATTAAAAGGTGATGTGAGATAACCAAGGGTGAGATAAGATAAGATTTTGATAGAATTTTTAACCTTGAAGGGTTAGCCGCACAGGATAACTTAAAAAAGTCAGTATGTCATCGAGGGACTATTAGTCTTATTTCCATTGTGGTCCTTAAGTCTTGTCCCCCAGGATGCCACCAATACCAACCCACTAACACCCAGGTACCTACTTGCTAGGCGAACAGGAACAACAGGTGTAAGGAAACATACCCAGTGTTTCCACCTGGCCAGGGATTGAATCACAGACAGTGCACGAGGTGAGAGCGTCACCTACCAGGCCACGGGACATAAATCAGAGGGTTGTGGAAGGGTTGATGAGGTGGTTGTCTGCATGCAGAGATGATGGACAAGGTATAGGTTGATGAAGAGGGGTGTATAAATCTGGGGTGGCAGATAAAACAAACAAATAAACCTTATTTCTATAGAGTGGAGATTGGTATATTATATCACTCGAGGTGATTGAGCTATATAAGCTACTTTATAGAAAGCCTTTTATTATGCAAGGCATTTTGGGCAACCTTATAACTAAAATATAAATACCGTAAGTGAAGTAATGATAAATTAGAAAGTAATATAGGGCGAGCAATAATGTTTGACGTACGTATATAGTAGCTCATTTTTGAAAGAATGCCCACTGTTTAAAAGATAATAATAATTCCGTACAAGAAATGGGTTTTAGAGCTTAAAAAATAATAGATCTAGTGCCGAGAAAGTTACAAAGGAAGGCTTATTAATGCAAAAATGACACTTATAATAATAATATTTATTTCTACAGTTACAGGATACAAGATATACAGACAGGAAGAAAAGCATAATAATTATACACAGTTGCACACACAGAAAGTCATGAAAAATTATATACAAAAAATAAGACAGCAGCGACTGTAAACTGAAACAAAAAGGCACCAAAAACACACTAAAAATGTTTCTTCACAAATAGTTCTTGATGCTACTGAAGGGTTCTTGATTCTGTCATTTGGAGCTTTCCTTGATTATCTCTCATTCCCCAGGTTCTGCATGACCCTGAAGGTCAGAGTACTTTCCCATGATAAAAATAATAAATGCATGAATAGAACAATAGAAGAGGAAGTTGTAAATACACTCTAAATTAATAAAAGTTCACGATAAACTGAACACTGAAGACAGAACACAGTGAGCGTGACTCTGCTCCTGTTATTACCAGTAGGTATTAACAATTAGGTGCACATGCACATATGTACAGTATACATATATAGTATATACATAAAAACACCACAGTGAAAATAGAAAAAAACACCTGAGTGCTTTCATGTATGCACATGAACGCATTCAAGTATTTTTCCTATTTTTCACTGTAGTATTTTTATATATATATACAATCGCGCATTTTAATTTCTTCCATATAGTATATACATATACATGAAAGTATGTATTACCATACACACAAACATGATACAGAAATGTAGATTAATACTAAAATATATATTAAATACTTTTAAATATATTTTTTATTTCATATAGTATGTAATAGATAATTTCAAAAATGATATGCAACACCTGTATTTCCTTCCCTTAACCCCATTCACATATATAAGTTGGAAAATTGTAGCTAATACTTCTTCCTGATCCCACGAACAGCAGGTCTCAGAGCTCATTAAGTGGCCGCGATAGTGACAGTATGGACAACGAGATCACACTTTCCAAGATGGATGTTGTCCTGTCGTTTGTGCTCGAGGTAAGACCCAGTATAGAGATAAGATTTTGTTGGGATTTTGAATCCAGAGGGTTAACCACCACCAGGATAACCCAAGAAAGTCAGTGCATCATCCTTGGCTGTCTGTCTTATTTCCATTGGGGTCCTTCAGTCTTGTCCCCCAGGATGCCACCCACACCAGTCGACTAACACCCGGGTACCTACTTACTTGCTAGGTAAAAGGGAATAGCAGGTGTAAGGAAACATACCCAATGTTTCCACCTGGCCGGGGATCGAACCACGGATACTCAGTGTGTGAAGCGGGAGCGTTGTATACCAGGCCACAGGACACCAACATTCACCTAGTCGACACAAGAGATGCAGGCGCTCCGTGTACTTCAGTGTGCATTCTTCAGCACAACCTTAGATATATTGTATTCTTGTTCAGCTTAACAAAATACACATTTCTGAACAACAGTGTGTTCTTGCACAGGTAAGAAGATTAAAACTGCATGAGTTTGTCCAAGTGAGAGCAGATTTGTGTTATTAAGTTTTGAAGGGAATTGCAAGTGCTAAATATATTATTTTTAATATCTAGAACTTCTGTATTGTGTGGCTTCATTGCTAATTTATGCAATAATAATTAAGTTACAGCATTTGTTAGTTGCAATAATATTTATATTTATGGTACTCTATTGTATAAATACAATAGAGGCACAATACTGTGACTGGAACAATACGTAGATAATCCGCACATAATAAACAAACTTATGATGAGATTTCAGTTCAACTTGGACCATTAACTAGTCACTAGTTAATGCTCTAGTTAAGGCCCTAGTTAATGATCCAAGTCGGACCGTAACATCGTCAAAAAATTTCTGTCTATTATGTGCAGGTTATTTGTTCTGTTATAGTTTCATTAATGATTTGTCCCGCAATATTTGGGCTACAATATTTGGACTACAATATTTGGACTACAATATTTGGACACAATATTTGGACTACAATATTTGGACTACAATATTTGGACACAATATTTGGACTACAATATTTGGGCTACAATATTTGGACTACAATATTTGGGCTACAATATTTGGACTACAATATTTGGACTACAATATTTGGGCTACAATATTTGGACTACAATATTTGGACTACAATATTTGGACTACAATATTTGGACTACAATATTTGGGCTACAATATTTGGACTACAATATTTGGACTACAATATTTGGACTACAATATTTGGCTACAATATTTGGACTACAATATTTGGACTACAATATTTGGACTACAATATTTGGACTACAATATTTGGACTACAATATTTGGACTACAATATTTGGACTACAATATTTGGACTACAATATTTGGACTAGACAATATTTGGACTACAATATTTGGACTACAATATTTGGACTACAATATTTGGACTACAATATTTGGACTACAATATTTGGACTACAATATTTGGACTACAATATTTGGACTACAATATTTGGACTACAATATTTGGACTACAATATTTGGACTACAATATTTGGACTACAATATTTGGACACAATATTTGGACTACAATATTTGGGCTACAATATTTGGACTACAATATTTGGACTACAATATTTGGACTACAATATTTGGACACAATATTTAATAGTTATAACATTTATTCCTTCACTTTATTTACTATTAAGATGAATTTTACTAATCAGTTCTTGAATTTCTTATATTAATTTTATATTCATGGCTATTAATTAACATATTATTTTTTCAAACACTAGTCGTTAAAATAAATTATTGAGAATGTTTTCGAAGATTTGCATGGCATCGGAATATCAGAATTTTTAACCTTTCTCAGAAATAAATGCAATAGAATTTGTAGCTTCCGCACACGTACGAAATTGTGCATTTTATGTCCATGGTCAGCATTTGTAATATTTTTTAATTTAACTTTTCCTATATTCTTTTATTACCTTTTTAGTGTAGTAAACTTAAAGCATATTAAGTAGTTTTATTGGTTAAAATAAAATAATTAAACATACACCCTTTACAATATAATATTTATTATTGTGTGACGACTTATTTAAAGATACAGTAAGATTAAATATATTTTTATAAGAATGTAATCTAATTTTGTTAGATCACTATTGTTTTACATCATATACAGCGGAACCTCGGTACTCGAACTTAATTTGTTCCAGAACGCTGTTTGAGTGCTGATCTGTTAGAGTACTAAACAAATTTTTCCCAACTAATTGTCTTTTTGGTTGGCTGTTATCACTAATCTTCATAGATCCCATGATGGCTTATTTATACAAATAATATAAACACAAACACAGAGTAGTTGCTACTCTGGCAACATTGCATAGCTCCTGATGATACACTGAGAAGTGTGAAAGTACTTGAGTTAAAAATTTCTATCCCCCATAGCTTGTCTTGCATTGTTAAGATCACCTGTCTGCAATTGTATATATATCCACACACACATACATGCATATACAGTGGACCCCCGCATAACGATTACCTCCGAATGCGACCAATTATGTTAGTGTATTTATGTAAGTGCGTTTGTACGTGTATGTTTGGGGGTCTGAAATGGACTAATCTACTTCACAATATTCCTTATGGGAACAAATTCGGTCAGTACTGGCACCTGAACATAATTATGGAGTGAAAAAATATCGTTAACCGGGGGTCCACTGTATATATATACATACATACATATACATACACATACACTGTATATAATGACCTGTTTGTAAGTTGAAATAGCAGGAATATTACTTAATTGCAAGTTCAAACATGAGAAAAACAACTTGGTTGCTTAACCAAAATCTTGTAAAGTTTTTAAGTATGGGTTTATTTATAAAGTCATCGAAATAAATGTAAAAAATTTTGAATTGTAAAACAGCATGAACGAGAGGTCTTTAAAGACAATTTTTTCTAAATAGTTGCAATATTTTATCAATGTTTTTTCTTTAGATTTAGTCGAGTGTGTTGCACCGTCCAAAAATATTTGGGTAATACAAAATAACCTCCATAACAACTATAAAAAAATTTTCCTTTCTCATTTATTTTACTAAAGACTTTTCAGCTACAAATTAGTGGGCTTAACTTGCTATAAAAATGTAGTAACAGCAATATTTTCTTGGTATGGTCCCGGGCAGGTACTGGTAATGGAGGTTCGTGAGATCAAGCACTTACCACCTAACAGAATAGTATATTGTACCATGGAGGTGGAGGGGGGTGAGAAGTTGCAGACGGACCAGGCAGAAGCATCAAAACCCATGTAAGTTTACTCTCCATGTGCATAACATACAGCAGTACATGTGTTACTTGAAATTCTCTGCATGTCGTATTTTCAACGTTGAAGACGCTATTTTTTTTTTTTCCCCAAAATAAGTATTGTAAATATACCCAGTGTCTTTTTTCCATAATTTAGCCAGTCAGAATTGGGGGGGTGGGGAGTTCTTGATATCGGAGTGTCTTGTCCTCTGAAAAATAGTAACCAGTTCACTAAAACCCAGGTACCTACTTACTGCTAGGTGAACAGTGACAGCAGATGTAAGGTGATTAACACCCAGGTACCTACTTACTGCTAGGTGAACAGTGACAGCAGATGTAAGGTGATTAACATCCAAGTACCTACTTGCTACTAGGTGAACAGGGACAGCAGGTGTAAGGTGATTAACACCCAAGTACCTACTTGCTGCTAGGTGAACAGTGACAGCAGATGTAAGGTGATTAATATCCAAGTACCTACTTGCTGCTAGGTGAACAGGGACCCGCAGGTTGTAAGGGATTTAAAATCCAAATACCTACTTGCTGCTAGGTGAACCGTGACAGCAGATGTAAGGTGATTAATATCCAAGTACCTACTTGCTACTAGGTGAACAGGGACACAGGTGTAAGGTGATTAAACCAAGTACCTACTTGCTGCTAGGTGAACAGTGACAGCAGATGTAAGGTGATTAATATCCAAGTACCTACTTGCTACTAGGTGAACAGGGACAGCAGGTGTAAGGTGATTAACACCCAAGTACCTACTTGCTGTTAGGTGAACAGTGACAGCAGATGTAAGGTGATTAATATCCAAGTACCTACTTGCTACTAGGTGAACAGTGACAGCAGATGTAAGGTGATTAATATCCAAGTACCTACTTGCTACTAGGTGAACAGGGACAGCAGGTGTAAGGTGATTAACACCCAAGTACCTACTTGCTGCTAGGTGAACAGTGACAGCAGATGTAAGGTGATTAATATCCAAGTACCTACTTGCTACTAGGTGAACAGGGACAGCAGGTGTAAGGTGATTAACACCAAGTACCTACTTGCTGCTAGTGAACAGTGACAGCAGAGATAAGGTGATTAATATCCCAAGTACCTACTTGCTACTAGGTGAACAGGACAGCAGTGTAAGGTGATTAACACCCAAGTACCTACTTGCTGCTAGGTGAACAGTGACAGCAGATGTAAGGTGATTAACATCCAAGTACTTACTTGCTACTAGGTGAACAGGGACAGCAGATGTAAGGTGATTAATATCCAAGTACCTACTTGCTACTAGGTGAACAGGGACAGCAGGCGTAAGGTGATTAACACCCAAGTACCTACTTGCTGCTAGGTGAACAGGGACAGCAGATGTAAGGTGATTAACATCCAAGTACTTACTTGCTACTAGGTGAACAGGGACAGCAGATGTAAGGTGATTAATATCCAAGTACCTACTTGCTGCTAGGTGAACAGGGACAGCAGGCATAAGGTGATTAACACCCAAGTACCTACTTGCTGCTAGGTGAACAGTGACAGCAGATGTAAGGTGATTAACATCCAAGTACCTACTTGCTGCTAGGTGAACAGTGACAGCAGATGTAAGGTGATTAATATCCAAGTACCTACTTGCTACTAGGTGAACAGGGACAGCAGGCATAAGGTGATTAACACCCAAGTACCTACTTGCTGCTAGGTGAACAGTGACAGCAGATGTAAGGTGATTAACATCCAAGTACTTACTTGCTACTAGGTGAACAGGGACAGCAGGTGTAAGGTGATTAACACCCAAGTACGTACTTGCTGCTAAGTGAACAGGGACAGCAGGTGTAAGGAAACATGCCCAACATTTCCACCCTTGTGGGGGATTGGACCACAGACACTCAGTGTGTGAGACAAGAGCATTGCCAACCAAACCACATTAGTAGGCACAAAACAAAGCTGCTAGTATGCAAATGCATTTCAGGCTAAGATGAATACTGTATATTTGGCTTACAACTAAGATCCTCTCTGGCAGACTGACAAGCATATCCTACTATAATGTAAAATAATGAATAATTAAAATTTACCACTCCACAACCTGTCTTGTTTCCAGTAGTGTGTAAGCATTAGTACAGTGGACCCCCGGTTAACGAACTTTTTTCGTTCCAGTAGTATGTTCAGGTGCCAGTACTGACCGAATTTTTTCCCATAAGGAATATTGTGAAGTAGATTAGTCCATTTCAGACCCCCAAACATACACGTACAAACGCACTTACATAAATACACTTACATAATTGGTCGCATTGGGAGGTGATCGTTAAGCGGGGGTCCATACATGTATTAGTTAATTGCCCAAAAAATTCTTATGCATGCTAGTGGAGATCTTCTTTGTCTTAACATGATTTATATTACATGTGAATTCACATTGATAATTTGCACAGAAGTTAAAAATTGCTATTGTAGTTAAGAAAGTACTTTGGAAAAAGTGACTTCTATCATTACAGATATTTACGTTGTGAATGTTTTGTGGATTCCGACTATATAATGATCATGAATATATATCTTCATAACTTTTCTACAGATGTATTTATATAAATTCATCATGTCATAAGTTACAACTTTACTACTGGAAAGCTTCATATCTATAAAATATACTGTTTATGTACCATGCTCTCATCCTTGTCGCCTTAGCAAGAGCTGCCGAGGCTTGCGAAACCATCATAAGCTCATGAGTACATATAAATTTTTTTTACTTCACGTGGTGAAGCACAAGGTAATTTCACTAAACACATCCACTGCAGGCCGTGATTAAGTTCCTGGAATCGGATTCCATGCTGTCCTCTGAAGTGTTAAGGAGTTGGGCAGGTTGTAAAACTTACTTACAGCGCTCTCTCAAGGTCAGGTCACATATGCAGAAAGCTCCTCGGTGCCTTGTGTCAGTGTGATAATAAAAATAAATAAAAAAAAAAAAATAATAATATGTTCTTTATTTCAGCTATGATACAGTGTTTGTACAAAGATGAATGGCATTTAGGTGTGCATGCAGAAAACCCCTTAATATGCAGAGCATTTCGGCAAACTTAGGACTAACTTAAGATTAATAAAGCATTGACAGTTTGAGTAATTTTGAACATAAGCCTCTGAGGTGAGTGTATAGTAGATGGCAAAAGTTGACAAATGGTGAATCAAATATGTACGGTACACAGAAATAGAATTAGGCTTTTATATAATAATGTTTTGTCCACTGTTAACTTTGTCGAGCACTCGACAAAATCCCGCAGGTAAAACATTACATGAAAGGCCTATACTATTTTTGTATCTTGTGCACCAAGTAACTTTACATATTCATCCTTGGTAATTTATTGTAATAAAAGTTTCCCTTGGGTACCTAATTTTTTTTTTATTTTAGAACCTGAGATAATTATTGGCTATAAAATAAGTTTTAAATACAGGCCCGTTCTCTATATTATTTGGCTTTATTGATTATAGTTTAAAACTGTTTTTTCGTTATAAGTCCTGAAGAATTGTATATTTAAATAGCATGTGTTGTAATTTGCTTTGCGAGTTAAAGGGTACAATTAAATTTTCTTTTAAAAGCAAGAGTCATGTGCAAAAGATTTCAATTCTTAATGCAAAATTCTTGTAAAATATGTATGAGGCAATGCATGGCAGAAAAGAATGAATTTCACTTAGGCCAAAATCCAGTTTAGTGAAAGAAATAATTCCTGAATGTTTTGTCTGTTTGTGGGAATATGTTGATATTGTCTTGTGTCTGTAAGCCGGTAATAATGGTAGACTTATCGACGAAGTGTTAGATAAAAGGACACAGAGGCAACTAATGTGACTTTTATTCTGGCAACATTTAGCTCTTCAGGGGTTACAGCTTGACAAAGTTCCTGGAGAGTGAAACATTGCCACAATAAAATGTCACATTAGTTGCATTTGTGTTGCTTTACCTTCTTGTAAGTTAGGTTCTTAGTTCTGAAAAAATATGGCAGCTAGAATTTGATAATCTTGATCTTTCCCATGACTTCATTTTTCTCCATTGTTTAAATTTCATGCTTATTTTCTGCTATGCAACACGTCATATAATGTTGTGCAACACCTTATATAATGCAGAACATCAGTGGTGAAAAAACTGAAATTCCAGGAGCTTTCATGGCTTCTCACATTATTGATAATGTGAGAAATCACGAAGCACTTTGAATTTCACTATTTTTTCTCCGTGGTTGTTCTTCATATTGTGATATCACCTGTTTACTGTGATCTTATTGCACCTTATATAATGTACAACACTCATATTAATGAAGATTAAGACACTTATGCAGCATATAGGAATCTTTATTCAGGAAACGTTTCGCCACACAGTGGCGAAACGTTTCCTGAATAAAGATTCCTATATGCTGCATAAGTGTCTTAATCTTCAACTTGTCGGTTTTTCAAACCATTCATCACCTCATATTAATGTTGAAGTTAAGAAGCTCAAAACATTAGAAATGTGTACAAGCAACTCCCGCACTTACAACTTAATTTGTCCTAGGGAGCCATTGGCAGTCCCTCCATTGTTAGTCAGACTTTTATTATCCAGAGGTACAACATTCAAAACTGGGGTTCCATTCTTAGAACCAATTTGATATACACTTTATACAAATAACCAGCAAATAGGAGAAAGAAACTTATTATGATATTTTGGTCTAACTTGGACTGTTAACTAGTCATACACTAGTTAATGGTCCAAGTCAGACTGAAATGTCTTCACAATGACTTAAGAAATCGTAATGACAACGATTTGCAATCGTGTCATTACGATTTCTTAAGTCATGTTGATGGCAGTGAAGGGACTTGAGCTAGAGTTCGTCACGGCCACGCTAGCTGGAGATTCGTCTGTAAAAACTTGCATTTGTGGTCACAGAGGTGCCTGTGCTAACTTTCCTATGGTGTAGAAATATACCTAGTTGGATGAATCTTATTGTGGCTAGCTGGTCTAGTGGCTAACGCGACGGGCTGGAGTTTTGAGACTCTATGACCGCGGGTTCAATCCCGGCCGGGGGTATGGCTTGTCTTCACAAGTTTCTACGTGCCAGTTATTTGTACATTGTTCCAGTCATGGCATTGTGCCTTTTTGTTTTTCTTGATATACAGTTTGTTTTTATAGAAATTATATTTCCATAAATATTTTTTTTATGTGGGAAAAGGGAGATGTAAATCAGGTAGTCGTGCATCAGGGGGTCGCCCGTGTTTGTATAGAATTACAAAAATGTAACTGAATATACATTTCATCTGTACTATAGGTAGCCCAGTGTTTCAACTTTGTTCTTTTTTCGTTAGATACCTGAATGGTACAAGATGCAAGTACCGAAAAATTCGCCTGAAAATAACCTTAGAATTAAGATTGCCGTTAGAATGGATAAACCACAGAATCTTAAACACTGTGGGTGAGTATGAAATATATATGTTTTTTAAAGTTGACTATTAATAATAATAATGTGCAGTTACCTACCTACTTGTGTGTTACTGGTGTTTGTGTAACTGTGTACTCACCGAGTTGTGGTTGAAGGGGTTGAGTCATAGTTCTTGGCCCTGCCTCTTCAGTGGTCACTACTAGGTCCACTCTTTCCCTTCTCCATGAGCTTTATCTCTTCTTAAAGCTGTATATGGATCCTGTTTCCAATACATCACTTTCCAGATTGTTCCACTTTCTGACAGCTTTGTGACTGAAGAAACACTTCCTAACATCCCTGTAACTCATCTGAGTTTTCAGCTTCAAGTTGTGACCCCTTGTTGCTGTGTCCCACCTCTGAAACATGCTGTCCCTATCCACTTTGCCAATTCCTCTCAGCATTTTATATGTCGTTATTATGACCCCCCATCCCTGTGTATTTGTCTGTGTGAGTGTAATTCCCTGAATTATGCTCTTGGTTTTCCATCTTCAGTAATTATTTGTCATACACATAGCTTGTTAAAATTTTCAATAATTGTAGTACAGTGGACCCCCGGTTAACGATATTTTTTCAATCCGGAAGTATGTTCAGGTGCCAGTACTGACCGAATTTGTTCCCATAAGGAATATTGTGAAGTAGATTAGTCCATTTCAGACCCCCAAACATACACGTACAGACGCACTTACATAAATACACTTACATAATTGGTCGCAGTCGGAGGTAATCATTATGCGGGGGTCCACTGTATATACTGTGTCATTCTCCCACTGTCGGTGTGTTGAGAAAAATAAAATAAAAATGTGAAGTTAATTTACTCACTTTTTTCCTTTTTTCCCCCAGTTACCTGTACGCTCTAGGAAAAAGTTGTTGGAAGAAGTGGAAAAAGCGATACTTTTGTCTAGTGCAAGTTTCCCAGTACACTTTTGCTATGTGTAGCTACAGAGAGAAGAAGAGCGAACCCACGGAGATGATGCAGCTAGATGGTTACACTGTTGACTATATTGAACCAGTGTCAGGTAATACCGATTCAAATTTAGATTCAAATGTCGGGTTAGATTCAAACGTCGGGTAATGCAGATTCAAATTTAGATTCAGATGTCGGGATAGATTCAAAGGTATTACCGGTTCAAATTTAGATTCAAATGTCGGGTTAGATTCAAACGTCGGGTATTACTGATTTAAATTTAGATTCAAATGTCGGGTTAGATTCAAGCGTTGGGTATTACCGATTCAAATTCAAATGTCAGGTACTACCAATTCAGATTTAAATGTTGGGATATTACTAATTCAATTTCATATGTCAAACCATACTAATTAAAATTTAAATTTAAACCATTGAACGGTTGGATGAATCTTACTTTAGCCAGCTGGCCCAGTGGCTTGCCAGCTGGCCCAGTGGCTTGCCAGCTGGCCCAGTGGCTTGCCAGCTGGCCCAGTGGCTTGCACACTGGCCTAGAGTTTTACCACTCGCTTTGCCATGGGTTGAAACCCTACCTGTTCTGTGGCTTATTCGCAATTGCGTTATTATGATTTCAAATTCAACCTTTTATTTCTTTTTAAATGCTGTATATGGATAATGTAGTTTACATGCAATAAAATATTGATGAGCACAAAAGAAAGCCACTAGTATGCAATGTATTTTGGGCAAAGGACCCCATTGGAAACCAAGGACTCCAATAGAAATCAAGAACTCCAGTGAAAATCAAGGACCCCATTGAAAATAAGTCACTCTGACTTTTTAGGTTATCCTGGAGGGTAATTTACACTACGTATAATAATTGTACTTATGTGTACTTGTACCTAAATAAACTTACTAACACTACACAAATAACCTACACACTAGAGAGAAGTTTATCCCTATGTGAGGGTCCACTGTATATTGTTTCACTCATGGTATTGTGTCTTTTTGTTCGAACTTATTAAAGACCACTTTTGGAGAAAGGCGATGAGCTGTTTCAACCAAAATAGAAAGGGGATGAGAGAAGCAAATTTTGGCGGCAATATTGATAATAATAATTATATTTTATTTCTGAGCACCTCTGCAAAAACAGTGATTATATGTGAGTGAGGTGAAAGTGTTGAATGATGATGAAAGTATTTTCTTTTTGGGGATTTTCTTTCTTTTTGGGTCACCCTGCCTCTGTGGGAGACGACCGACTTGATTGAAAAAAAAAAAAAATTATTTCATCATGATGCAGTGTTTGTACAAAGGAGAATGACATTTGGGTGTACATGCTGAAAGCCCCTGTATATGTATAGCATTTTGGGCAAACTTAAGACTAACTTAAGATTAATAAGGAAATAATAATAATTAGTAAATTTGAAAGTTTACAGTGAGTTTAAGAGAATTGAATATTTTTATTAGTTCATTCTATATGGCTTTAGTATGTTTAATCGAGAGGAATTATGGGTCTTATTGAGGTTAAAATATACAGATTTCTTTCCCCTCAATGCCAGTGAGAGGTTCTTGATCCAAGGAATTACAGCTGTTTCTCTTAACCTTAGAGCAGACTGACTACCTCTCATTCCCAGTCACTCTATAAATCGTATAAATTTAGTGTTTTTTGATGAATACTGTATGTGATATATGTAGATCTTTCACCTGTGTTTGACTGTCAGTCTGAGTGCTTTCTCACCTGTGTTTGACTGTCAGTCTGAGTGCTTTCTCACCTGTGTTTGACTGTCAGTCTGAGTGCTTTCTCACCTCTGTTGATCATTGGAAAAACATAAATATACTATAATTCTATTCTTTATTTTTAACATTTCACTCACACAGTGTACTTAATTAAGTCTTAAACAGATCTCTTTAGGACTTGATAAAACCCACTTAGGGGAAACATCATCAAATAAAACCCACTTGGGGGAAACATCATCAAATAAAACCCACTTGGGGGAAACATCATCAATAAAGGATAGTTTTATACTGCTTTTTTATTGTAAGTCAGTTTAATATCTTTATTATGCACCCCATACCCATCCTGTGGGTGATAGTCAAAAGATTACAGAGGTACATAATGGGTCTAGGGACTGTAACTCAACATTACACACATAATGGGTCCAGGGACTGTACCTCAACATTACAGAGGTATATTTTGGGTCCAGGGACTGTTCCTCAACATTACAGAGGTAAATAATGGGTCCAGGGACTGTTCGTCAACATTACAGAGATGCATAATGGATCCAGGGACTGTACCTCAACATTACAGAAGTATGTAATAGGTCCAGGGATGGAGCTGCAAAGTTTTGATGGGTGTCTCTCTATCATATCTATTTTATACCATTTGTCTCCAATCTTTAGTGATTATTCGGACACTTTTATCCAATGAATATAAAAGCACAATATACAAACATTAGCGTTTGTTAGCTATTTTTTATTACGACTTGATAAAACTCTACCCTGAGTGGGACGTGTAGACCCAATAAGAGACAGTTTTGTATATTGTGTTTTAATATTTATATCTGTCAGTATTAATACCTGTATCTGTCAGAATTAAAACCTATACCTGTCAGCATTAATACCTGTATCTGTCAGCATTAATACCTATATCTATCAGCATTATTATGTGTCGGTATTAATTAATACATATATCTGTCAGTTTTAATACCTATATCTGTCAGTATTAATACATATATCTGTCAGTTTTAATAATTCTGTCATTATTAATACCTCTATCTGTCATTATTAATACCTCTATCTGTCAGTATTAATACATATATCTGTCATCATTAATACCTCTATCTGTCAGTATTAATACATATATCTGTCAGTTTTAATACCTCTGTCATTATTAATACCTCTGTCAGTATTAATACATATATCTGTCAATTTTAATACCTATATCTGTCAGTATTAGTCCTTTACACTGACATTTAACCAAGCATGTTCTTTCTGGTTACAAATATGTCAAAGTCAAATTTCATATAAATCAATTATAATGAGAAGACCTTTGTATTGATTATATACTGAATCTAATATACAAACTCATTTACAGCTCAACTTATGGTCGGAATGGGTGAGTAATGTGATTTTCTAAGATCAAAATCAAAAATCAAAATTTTATTTCTTGGTGTAGTATACAAACTGTAGTTTACATTAAAGTATACATGTGCAGTTCAGCGAGCTCTCAGTAGTAGTGCCAGTTCCTAGTAACCAGTTACCAGTAACCAGTGTACCAGTAGATGACTCACTACCAACCGTCTGTGTGAATCATTGACTGTATTCATATTGCTGCTGACCATAGCAGGATTTCAAACACCCTCACTCATAGGCACTGGTGGGTCAGTCGTAGTTAGGCAGCAGAGAGAGACAGGTCGGCTGTTGGCGCTTTCCATACTTCCCTTTATATATTATAAGTACTACCAGCCTACGTGAGTATTTTTACCCATCCACGTATCGAAAACCCACATGACATATACATGTGCAGTTCATGTGTACAGAGGAAAAATTATTGCAATTAACACAATTTACAATAGTATAGTTTTAAGCCTGATATAATACTTAAAATTTAGTGACCTTTAAGTTAACTGGGATTTTTTAAAACGTAGTTTTGAGTTAGAATGACAGATCTTAGCATCACTTATAGTCAGTAGGAAAATATAAAAACTTTTGTGAAAAGTATAGAGCTTTAAATGGGCTGACTTTGTGCTCTAATCAGTAATACGTAATACCTATATCTGTCAGTATTAATACCTATATCTGTCATTAATACCTATATCTGTCATTAATACCTATATCTGTCAGTTTTAATATCTATCTGACAGTATTAATACCTATACCTGTCAGTATTATTATTTATATCTGACAGTATTAATATTGATATCTCTAATACCTATATGTCAGTATTAATACCTATAATTGTCAGTATTAATACCTATATGTCAGTATTAATACCTATAATTGTCAGTATTAATACCTATAATTGTCAGTATTAATACCTATATGTCAGTATTAATACCTATAATTGTCAGTATTAATACCTATATGTCAGTATTAATACCAATAATTGTGAGTATTAATACCTATATGTCAGTATTAATACTTATAATTGTCAGTATTAATACCTATATGTCAGTATTAATACCTATAATTGTCAGTATTAATACCTATGTGTCAGTATTAATACCTATAATTGTCAGTATTAATACCTATAATGTCAGTATAACCTATATTGTCATATATACCTATATGTCAGTATTAATACCTATAATTGTCAGTATTAATACCTATATGTCAGTATTAATTCCTATAAGTGTCAGTATTAATACCTATATGTCAGTATTAATACCTATAATTGTCAGTATTAATAACTATATGTCAGTATTAATACCTATAATTGTCAGTATTAATAACTATATGTCAGTATTAATACCTATAATTGTCAGTATTAATACCTATATGTCAGTATTAATACCTATAATTGTCAGTATTAATACCTATATGTCAGTATTAATACCTATAATTGTCAGTATTAATAACTATATGTCAGTATTAATACCTATAATTGTCAGTAGTAATACCTATATGTCAGTATTAATACCTAATCAATAATAATAAAAAAAGTATTAAGAGAAATATTATTTGAAGAATGTTAGGGTCATTCCGTCCATTCTCCTGCATTTCCTTGTTACGTGTACACATATTAGTGATATATCTACGACTTTAATAGTTACATGTTCCATAGTATTTAATAAAATTTAAATTAACCATTTACAGTGGTACCTCGAGTTTCGAATAGTTGCTAACTCGAACGATTATGTAAGTGTATTTTTGTAAGTGCTTTTGTAAGTGTATTTTTGGTGGTCTGAAACAGATTAATCTAATTTACATTATTCCTTATGGGAACAAATTCGTTCAGTATCAGCACTCAAACAGCCTTCTGGATTGAATTAAGCTCGTAACTTGAGGTACCACTGTACATTATTTTTTAACACTGCTGCTATACCTTTCTTGTTATTTTAACTCTTTCACTGGATAATGGTAGATGAGACACAAGGCAACATTTAGGCAACTTTATTCCGAAACATTTCGCCTACACAGTAGGCTTCTTCAGTCGAGTACAGAAAGTAGGCAGGAGTAGTAGAGATGTGAAGACGATGTAATCAGTCCATCACCCTTGAAGTCATAGATTTGAGATTGTCAGTCCCTCAACCTGGAGAAGTTCAGTTCCAAAGTCTGGAACTAACTTTGGAACTGAACTTCTCCAGGCTGAGGGACTGACAACCTCAAATCTACGACTTCAAGGGTGATGGACTGATTACATCGTCTTCACATCTCTACTGCTCCTGCCTACTTTCTGTACTCGACTGAAGAAGCCTACTGTGTAGGCGAAACGTTTCGGAATAAAGTTGCCTAAATGTTGCCTATGTGTCTTATCTACCAACCTGTCGGTATTGTATACCATTTTGATGTTCACTGGATGATGAATAAGACTTGTGTGACAGTTTGGTATCTTTATTGATGAGACAGTTTACCTGCTCATCAGAGTTCTTTAGTCAAAACATAGAGAAAACCAGTAGTGAAGGTATAGATAAGAGGTGATCAGTCCCACAGCCTTGAAAATTAAATAACTTTGAGATGGTTGATCACTTAGCATTGGTGTGTTGTCAACCCCATATCTGAAAGTGGGTGGTAAACAAATCAGTTTTTCTTAGCAGCTGATGCCAAGGGAAAACATCCATAGTTTTTAGCTGCCCACTCACACACACTGACCAAATCTGACTGATGTTATTATTACAATGTTGTATTATTACATCTTTATTATTCGTGTGGCCCCTTTTCACTTTCCCCACTTTTATTACATAGCAATTATCCACAATAAATGGCATTGTCCATTTCTTTTTCCATTTACTTATTCTCTTCAGATCTTCCAGCTGGAGCAGTCATTTTTACTGCTTGTATAAAATTTCAGCATCTATGGATATAGTTATTATTTGTTTTATTAACACGTCGGCCATTTCCCACTAAGGCAGGGTGACCCGGTAAAGAAGAAACACTTTTATCATCATTCACTCCATCACTGTCTTGCTAGAAATGTGCCTACACTACAGTTATAAAATTTAACACCCCTCCTTCAGAGTGCTGCCACTGTACTTCCCACCTCCAGGATTCAAGTCCGACCTGCCGATTTCCCTGAATCCCTTCATAAATGTTACCAACAGCACGTCAAGCCCTAAAAACCACTTACCTCCATTCACTCCTATCTAACATACTCACATATGCTTGCTGGAAGTCCAAGCCCCTTCTACACAAAACCTCCTTTACCTCCTACCTCCAACCTTTCCTAGGCTGATTTAATTAATTATGCAGCCTGTGGCTCAGGAATTGATTAAATTTTTTAAAGATAAATTTCATGGCAAAGTCAGGCAAGCATTCTTACAGTATACTATATAAGAACGGGTGGCTTTACTAATACAACCAAAACAATGATGCTCAACTGTAATTCCTCATCTGGCAGTTCTTTATCCTTCATAACAAGTAGCTTATTCAGATTTACTTTCATTTCTTTCAAATTGTCTTTTGTTTTTATTTTCCATTCCTAACTCCCCTTCTCTCTCTAGTCTCTTAGCCCCTTTCTCTTAATTATTTAAAGGGTTCCTTATCACTTCTTTCATTTGTGTTACAGTATTTATACTTTCAATGTTTTATTTAATTTTCATCATTCTACATTTTCGCTGGTTTACTGTTGTCATTGTTTATATTACCGCTGATATCTCTTTGTTTAAACTATAATCGCCTGACATGTATCCATAACTTTTCCACACTGCCATTTTTTTAGTGTACATACTGAAGTATCTACGTGGCTCTGGCAAGACAGTGATGGAGTGAGTGATGGTGAAAGTGTTTCTTCTTTTTTGGGTCACCCTACTTCAGTAGGAGATGGCCAGTGTGTTAAAAATAACTTTTATTTTATTTTTTGTCTATACAGTATTGTAAAAAAGTCATTATTTTTTTTTTGACAGATCTGGAAGGTGGTAGATTCTTTTTTAATGCTGTAAGAGAGGGTGAGTCTATCTTATGTGCCACTGAAGATGAGAATGAGTCTCATCAGTGGGTAACCGCACTGTACCGAGCCACTGGCCAAGCTCACAAACCAACGCCACCAGTAATGCCTCAAGGGAAAAATTCCACGTTATCTAAGATACAGGGAGGTAAGATGTGCTGTATGTTGTTTTACAAGTTTTTCTTAATAAATTGTTTTACATTTAACATGCTCACCTGTAGGTTAGTACCAGCTACCCATGGAGGTAATACCATCCTGTTGTATGGGTGTTAAATATGCAAACATAATAATAATAATACAGTGGACCCCCGCATAACGATTACCTCCGAATGCGACCAATTATGTAAGTGTATTTATGTAAGTGCTTTTGTACGTGTATGTTTGGGGGTCTGAAATGGACTAAACTACTTCACAATATTTCTTATGGGAGCAAATTCGGTCAGTACTGGCACCTGAACATACTTCTGGAGTGAAAAAATATCGTTAACCGGGGGTCCACTGTAATAATAATAATAATAATAATAATAATAATAATATTTTATTTCATCATAATAGAGTGTTCAAGTAACAGGTTGGTAGAGAGCAACTACCTAGGGAGGTACTGTAATCCTGTCGTATGAATGTGAAACATACATTTATCAGGAAGTAGGTCCAGGAAGTAGATTGGCAGCTTTGAACCATCCATGGAGGTACTACCCTCCTGTCATATAACTGTGGTATGCTGGTGGACAACAACCACCCAGGGAGGTACTACCCTCCTGTCATATAACTGTGGTATGCTGGTGGACAACAACCACCCAGGGAGGTACTACCCTCCTGTCATATAACTGTGGTATGCTGGTGGACAACAACCACCCAGGAAGGTACTAACCCTCCTGTCATATAACTGTGGTATGCTGTTGACAACACCACCCAGGAGGTACTAACCCTCCTGTCATATAACTGTGGTATGCTGGTGGACAATAACCACCCAGGGAGGTACTACCCTCCTGTCATATAACTGTGGTATGCTGGTGGACAACAACCACCCAGGGAGGTACTACCCTCCTGTCATATGACTGTGGTAAGCTGGTGGACAATCAACCACCCAGGGAGGTACTACCCTCCTGTCATAGGAGTGTGAAATACCAGGTAGTATGGTAGACTGGTGGACATCAACCACCTAGGAAAGTACTACCCTCCTGTCATCCTCTCTTGTTTGGAAAGTCAGATCTGAGGCTGGATTGTGGGGACAATCATCCCGATGATCCCCTTAATATATATACAGGTGCTTCTCAATTTATAAGAACCTAAGAACATAAGAACGAAGGAACACTGCAGAAGGCCTACTGGCCCATGCGAGGCAGGTCCAAGTCTCCTACCGGCTTAAGCCAATGCATCCAACCTAGTCAGGTCAGGTCACATTGACTTAAGGGAGGAACACGGCAACCGACCTGGTAGCACAAGCTATCAGGTCTAACTCACACCCACCCACATCTACTCATGTATTTATCAACCTATTTTTAAAGCTACACAAGTTTTTGGCCTCTATAACGGTACTTGGAGTTTGTTCCACTCATCCACAACTCTATTACCAAACAGTACTTTCCTATATCCTTCCTGAATCTGAATTTTTCCAACTTAAAATCATTGCTGCGAGTCCTGTCTAGGCTAGATATTTTCAGCACACTATTTACATCCCCTTTATTTATTCCTGTCTTCCATTATACACCTCAATTATATCCCCCCTAATTCTACGTCTTTCTAGAGAGTGCAGTTTCAGGGCCCTTAGTCTATCCTCATAGGGAAGGTTTCTGATACATGGGATCAACTTTGTCATCCTCCTTTGTACATTTCCAGAGAATTTATATCCATCTGTAATACGGTGACCAAAACTGTGCAGCATAATCTAAAATGAGGCCTAACCAAGGATGTATAGAGTTGAAGAACAACCTGAGGACTCCTATTATTTATGCTTCTTGATATGAGCCAAGGATTCTATTAGCTTTATTGCGAACACTTATGCACTGTTGTCTTGGTTTCAGATTACTGCTAACCAGAACTCCTAAATCTTTTTCGCAATCCGTAATATTAAGATCTACATTATTTAGTTTATATGTGGCATGGTTATTGTCCTGTCCAACATTTAGAACTTTGCATTTGTCTATATTAAACTGCATCTGCCACTTCTCCGACCACTGCATCAGTCTATTCAAATCTTCCTGGAGTGCTCGAATGTCCTCGTCAGAATGAATTCGACGGCCTATTTTGGTGTCATCGGCAAACTTGCCGATGTCGCTCTTTATGCCCTCATCTATGTCGTTTATGTAGATTGTGAACAGCAGGGGGCCCAACACTGACCCCTGTGGAACACCGCTCGTGACGCTTCCCCACTCTGATTTCTCCCCATTTATGCAAACTCTCTGCTTCTCAATTTATGATGGGATTACGTTCCGACAGACTCATCAAAAGTCGAAAATATCATGAGTCGAATATGATATGCTAAAAAAATAAGTAAATAAATTACTACTGCCACTGAATAATAAATAAATAAATAATGTAACTAAATACACCTACCATCCGACTTACGACCAAGTTTGGTTCCGAGAAACCGGTCGTAAGTCGAAATGGTCATAAGTTGAACTTTACTACTGAATATCAACATCACATTTTTGTAATGACTTTATTTTGTTTTATTTTGGTATTTCATGTTTTACTTTACTTTTTATGCTGTTAGTACTATATTTTATACTGTAAGGTTTAGGATAAACACTGTGTACAACACAAATAGTTGTTTATTTCCCAGAAATTTGGCATAAAAAACACGGTCGTAAGTCGAGTGGTCGTAAGTCGAGCAGGTCGTAAGTCAGATGGTAGGTGTACCAATATTGAAGAGTAAATATTTGAATAAAAGTTACTGACTTGCTGCCTTCATGCTGGGTAATTATCTTAATTTTCATCCCCGAAGCAATTGCACCATCGTAAAGTTGAAATATGCTAAGTCGAACCATCATATGTCAAGGAGAACCTTTTTTTTTTTATTTTTTTTTTTTTTATTATCACACCGGCCGATTCCCACCAAGGCAGGGTGGCCCGAAAAAGAAAAACTTTCACCATCATTCACTCCATCACTGTCTTGCCAGAAGGGTGCTTTACACTACAGTTTTTAAACTGCAACATTAACACCCCTCCTTCAGAGTGCAGGCACTGTACTTCCCATCTCCAGGACTCAAGTCCGGCCTGCCGGTTTCCCTGAATCCCTTCATAAATGTTTACTTTGCTCACACCTCAACAAGCACGTCAAGTATTAAAAAACCATTTGTCTCCATTCACTCCTATCAAACACGCTCACGCATGCCTGCTGGAAGTCCAAGCCCCTCGCACACAAAACCTCCTTTACCCCTCCCTCCAACCCTTCCTAGGCCGACCCCTACCCGCTTCCTTCCACTACAGACTGATACACTCTTGAAGTCATTCTGTTTCGCTCCATTCTCTCTACATGTCCGAACCACCTCAACAACCCTTCCTCAGGGCCCCCTGGACAACAGTTTTGGTAATCCCGCACCTCCTCCTAACTTCCAAACTACGAATTCTCTGCATTATATTTCCCCACACACACATTGCCCTCAGCATGACATCTCCACTGCCTCCAGCCTTTTCCCTCGCTGCAACATTCATCACCCAGGCTTCACAACCCATATAAGAGAGTTGGTACAACTATACTCTCATACATTTCCCTTTTGCCTCCAAGGACAAATTTCTTTGTCTCCACAGACTCCTAAGTGCACCACTTTCTGTTGATTCTCAATCTATTGTTGATTCAACGTGATCCTTTTTTAGACCATCGCTAAACTACTCCCAAAAAATTGGAAAAGATATTCTCAAGCTATTTTCTCATCTGATATAAAATCTAATGCATGTCTTTAGTTATCCTAAATTTACCTTTCATGTTTCCCCAATTTTTGGAAAGTCTTTCTACACCTAAAAAATTAGAACCAAGTCCTCTGTTTGCATCCCGAATCTCCAAGACGTGTCACAGCAAGAGCAGCTGTGAATCCACTTGGTGTGTAAATGCTTAATTTTTAACTCCAACCACTTGCCTACCCTCGCCATTTACCCTTTTCAAATTTTAAAAATTGTAACAACAGGCTCGACTAAAGGTGCTTTTTAAGGCCTACTTTTACTGGGAAAAATTTTCCCTCTTGTAAACTTTAATTGAGCCTCAATCCTCGTAAAAATTTCAGCTGCTTGGAGACTAAGACCTGAACTCATACCTTGAAAACATCTGCCACATGGACCAAGATTTCAACGTTTAGGCTAACCCTGAATCCTATATGCGAACCATTGACCTCTTTAGAATTCCTATTGTTTATATGGTTCTGTGAAAGACTGGTCCACACAGGTACAATTTGAAGCATCTTGTTCACTGCTATCTATCTCCGTTACTCTAATCTTTCAATAACTCTACCAACCACTACCTGGTACATCAGAGGAGTATCCGAAATTAATTTGCCTACTTTACCTTTGCTTTATACAAAGGAACTATGCATGTTGCATCCCTAGGTACCTACCTCATAATTTTATTAAAATTGCACCACCACTTAAACTTATGCCCTGCTTTAACATTTCACTGTTTATCCACATCCGGCTAGCTACCACGTACAAGTAACCTATGCCTCAGATATTGTGCCGACACTACAAACTGGCTCTTCCTCACTCCTACAAGATGTTATTCCTCTTCCCTACCGAATCACAGCTTCCCTATCTTCATACATTTAACAATTCCTCTAAAATATTCCTTCCATCTCCAATACCTCTAACTCTCCATTTAATAACTCTCCTCTCCTATTTTTAACTGACAAATCCATTTGTTCTCTAGGCTTTCTTAACTTGTTAATCTCATCCAAACATTTTGTCTTATTTCAACAAATTTGTTGATAAACATCTCACCCACTCTCTCAATTGCTCTCTTTTTACATTGCTTCACCACTCTTCTTAACTTCTCTCTTTTCTCCATATACTCTTCCCTCCTTGCATCACTTTACTTGTAAAAACTTCTCATATGCTAACTTTTCTCCCTTACTACTCTCTTTACATCATCATTCCACCAATCGCTCCTCTTCCTCCTGCACCCACTTTCCTGTAACCACAAACTTCTGCTGAACACTCTAACACTACATTTTAAACCTACCCCATACCTCTTCGACCCCATGCCTATGCTCTCATTAGCCCATCTATCCTCCAATAGCTGTTTATATCTTACCCTAACTGCCTCCTCTTTAAGTTTATAAACCTTCACCTCTCTTCCCTGATGCTTCTATTCTCTTGTATCATCTACCTTTTACTCTCAGTGTAGTACAACTATAATGTGATCTGATAATCGTGGCCCCTCATAAACATGTACATCCTGAGTCTATACACACATCTTTTATACTACCATACATAATCCAAAAAACACTGTCATTTCGCCCTACAGTCAATCGTGTATCTTATTTATCCTTATCTTAAAATATGTATACCTAAACTGAAACCCTTTTTATACAAAGTTCAATCAAAGAAAGTCCATTATCACTTCAACTTGGCAAGCGCCAACTTACCTACCACAACCTCTCTAAAAGTTTCTCCTACTTTAGCAATTCAGTCCCCTCTTCAAATAACTCTTCACTTGTTCAAATGCTTCCTATTACAGTTCACTTAACATCTCCCAAAATTCTCTCTGTCAATCTTTTTCTCTTCTTCCAGGTGCATACACGCTTAATATGACCCACTTTCACATCAACCTTTACTTTAATCCACATAATTCTTGAATTTACAATTCATATTCTCTTTACTCTCAGAACTGATATTTACATTACTGGTCCCCTTCCTTTGTCTAACTCTCAGAATTACTGCCATATTTAATCCATTTATTTCCCCCACGTGAAATCTCCTACCCCTTACACTTTGTTGTGCCCTTAGGGCCAGGACATCCAACTTCTTTTCATCAATTACATCAGCAATCATCTGGAGAACCTGTATACATAATTTCTCAGACCCAAAATTCTGTACATAAATAGCATTCTCTGAATAAGTAGGAACTATAAAGTTAAGAGAATAACATTAAAATTTCTTTAGAAAACAAATATGTAACATAAAATAAAGAAGTTTTATAAGTATGAACTGTAATTACATACAGATATAATTTTATCTTTTAAATGTAAATTATCTCAACAGTGCTGATCCTTAATAACTCCCTACTTAACAGGTGTTTCCATTCGGACATGAGAGAGAAGAGCGAAACGAAATCGATTCCCAATGAAGCAGTGAGAAAGTAAGGAGGGTTGGCCAAATTTGAGGGGGGGGAAAAGGGATTTTTTTTATTTTCCAAGGCTCGTGACTTTTTAGGAAAGTCATAAAGGAACGAGAGGTACAGGCCAATGGACAGATATGTTGTGCGACAGAAGTCCAGTGACTCTGAAGCTGGTCCTAGTGGCATTAAAAGAAGAAGGGAAGTAACCCCAGAAAAGGACTTGACACCTCAAGTCTTAATGGAAGGGGATTCCCCTTCTAAACACTAAGACTCTCTCCTCCTCCCATCCCATCAATCATCACCAGATCTTCAATAAAGGTAAGTGTCATGTAACTGTGCATGTCTTTTTCAGTTTGTGTGTATTAAAATTAATATTTCATGTGGTAAAATTTTTTTTTTTTATACTTTGGGGTGTTTTGCACGGATTAATTTGATTTCCATTATTTCTTATGGGGAAAATTCATTCGCATGACGATAATTTCGCATAACAATGAGCTCTCAGGAACGGATTAATATCGTTATGCGGGGGTCCACTGCAGTTGTTTATTTCCCAGAAATTTGGCATAAAAAACACGGTCGTAAGTCGAGTGGTCATAAGTCGAGCAGGTCGTAAGTCAATTGGTAGGTGTACCAATATTGAAGAGTAAATATTTGAATAAAAGTTACTGACTTGCTGCCTTCATGCTGGGTAATTATCTTAATTTTCATCCCCGAAGCAATTGCACCATCGTAAAGTTGAAATATGCTAAGTCGAACCATCATATGTCAAGGAGAACCTGTATACATAATAATTCTCAGAACCAAAATACTGTACATAAATAGCATTCTCTGATAAGTATGGAAGTGTAAAGTTATAAGAGAAATAAATGCATTTAGTAATCATTTATAAATGACAAATTATGCTCAACATGAAAGATGGCAGGGAAGTTTTATAAGCATATACTGTAGGGTTGTTGAGGTGGTTCGGACATGTAGAGAGAATGGAGCGAAACAGAATGACTTCAAGAGTGTATCAGTCTGTAGTGGAAGGAAGGCGGGGTAGGGGTCGGCCTAGGAAAGGTTGGAGGGAGGGGGTAAAGGAGGTTTTGTGTGCGAGGGGCTTGGACTTCCAGCAGGCATGCGTGAGCGTGTTTGATAGGAGTGAATGGAGACAAATGGTTTTTAATACTTGACGTGCTGTTGGAGTGTGAGCAAAGTAACATTTATGAAGGGGTTCAGGGAAACCGGCAGGCCGGACTTGAGTCCTGGAGATGGGAAGCACAGTGCCTGCACTCTGAAGGAGGGGTGTTAATGTTGCAGTTTAAAAACTGTAGTGTAAAGCACCCTTCTGGCAAGACAGTGATGGAGTGAATGATGGTGAAAGTTTTTCTTTTTCGGGCCACCCTGCCTTGGTGGGAATCGGCCAGTGTGATAATGATAATAATAATAATAACTTACATAATTGGTCGCATTGGGAGCTGATCGTAAACCGGGGGTCCACTGTATATTGTAATAAAGAGAATAGAGAAAATCAGCTCTACTATACATTATTTAGGTATGCATACTGGTCAGAGAGCCTGTCGTAAGTCCAAGTAATTGGTAAATGAGTACAGTGGACCCTCAGCTAACGATGGCATCAGCTAACGTTAGATCCAGCTAATGATACATTTTAACGCAAAAATTTTGCCTCAGCTAACGCTAAAAAACTCACCCAATGCGATTTGTTCAAGACACATCCACATGTGGCCTGAGCGCGCCTCAGTTGTCCCATGGGTGCCAGTGTTTACAAGCCAGCCAGTGCGGTCGCATCCATGCATACAGTCAGAACATTTCATATTATCACAGCGTTTTTAGTGATTGTACCTGCAAAATAAGTCACCATGGGCCCCAAGAAAGCTTCTAGTGCCAACCCTGTGGTAAAAAGGGTGAGAATTAGTATGGAAATTAAGAAAGATTTTGAAGGGTTTGGGGCTAACCCTGAGAAGCCTATGCCAGTTGTGGAATCCATTGTGCCTACTTCAAAAATTAAGGAAATGTGTGCAAAGTGGGTTGAGCTGCAAACCTTTATGGATGAAAATCACCCTAACACAGCAATTGCAAGCCGTGCTGGTGACTATTACAATGACAATGTTGTGGCCCATTTTAGGCAAATCTTAAAGGAACGGGAGGTACAGGCCTCTATAGACAGATTTGTTGTGCGACAGAAGTCCAGTGACTCTCAAGCTGGTCCTAGTGGCATTAAAAGAAGAAGGGAAGTAACCCCGGAAAAGGACTTGCTACCTCAAGTCCTAATGGAAGGGGATTCCTCTTCTAAACATTAACAACTTCTACACTCTTCCCTCCTCCCATCCCATCAATCATCACCAGATCTTCAATAAAGGTAAGTGTTAGTTTGTGTGTATTAAAATTAATATTTCATGTGGTAAAAAAATTTTTTTTTTCATACTTTGGGGTATCTTGCACGGATTAATTTGATTTCCATTATTTCTTAGTTCAGCTAAAGATAATTTCAGCTAACGATTAGCTTTCAGGAACAGATTAATATCGTTAGCTGAGGGTCCACTGTACGTTGTTAAGTGAGGAGAGGTTATATTATTGTAATATTTCTGTAATGCTGCTGTTACTTCTTCATTATTAAAAAATCCTGTTGTATAAAAACTTTTTTTTTTTTTTGAATGATTTCAGATTAATGGGTTTTGGCTTAAAAGTAAATTACCTCAAAGCTGAGAACTTCTTTCAAAATATTTTTTTATGTATTGTAGATGCAGATAAAGCGAAGAAACATGGAATGGATGAATATATAAGTGCCGATCCTGTTAGATTTGATCACCACAACTTGTATAGAGTTCTACAAGCTCAAACACTGGAATACCGTCTGGTTGACCCCTACTGTTCACTGGTGAGTTTGTGTTTTTTTGCCAGGGGTTTATAGTCTGGGTTACCCCTGCTGTTCTCTGGTGTGTTTATATGTTTTAACCAGGGGTTTATATTCTGGGTGTGCTAGGTTACCCCTAGTGTTCTCTGGTGAGTTTATATGTTTTAACCAGGGGTTTATATTCTGGGTGTGCTAGGTTACCCCTAGTGTTCTCTGGTGAGTTTATATGTTTTAACCAGGAGTTTATATTCTGAATGTGCTAGGTTACCCCTACTGTTCTCTGGTGAGTTTATATGTTTAAACCAGGGGTTTATATTCTGGGTGTGCTAAGTTACCCCTACTGTTCTCTGGTGAGTTTATATGTTTTAACCAGGAGTTTATATTCTGAATGTGCTAGGTGAGCATCACACATCTACCAAAGATGGGAAATTCATCATATACAGTGGAACCTCAAATATCGAACTTTCTTCGGTCCAGAAGGCTGTTCGAGTGCCTTTACCGAATGAATTTATTCCCATCAGGAATAATGTAAATTAGATTAGTCCATTTCAGACCCTCAAAAATACACTTATAAAAGCACTTACAAAAATACACTCGCATAATTGGTCGTGTTGGGAGCAGTTTGATTTTTGAGGTTCCACTGTATATAAAGTTAACTCAGTTATATAATGCATCATGAGGGGATACTAATTTTTCTGTTCCCTATTTTGATGTATGGAAACAGCCCAAAGTTTGTATGCTTATTTTTGAGTAATACTTATACCAGAGTAGTAAGTCAAGCACGATAGCACAGTGCACACCCTGTGATAATAACCACCATACACACTGTTTTTACCATAGATCATACAGCACCTGGGTAATGGCAGGTAATCACATTTGGTGTATAGGGGTGCCTTGATGCTGGTAAAAGGCCCTTGACTCACGAAATCATAATGACATGACTCATGAAATTGTAATGACATGATTGCAAACAAACCATACCACGGGCGGGGATAGAACCCGCGATCAGAGAGTCAAAACTCCAGACCGCAGGTTCTGTCCCCGCCCGTGGCATGATTTGATCATAATGACATGATCACAAACAAACCATACCATGGCCCTTGTTCCAAAGAATTAAAAGTTACTCTATCCTTCCTTGGATTTAACCCAACTACCACCCATTTCCCAGGTACTGCATAACCCTTATATGTTAAGCACTACCCCATGGTTATTATTATATCAAAACTAAGCACTAAACCCACAGGGATCATACAGCACATGATTATAATAATAAGATTTTTTTTTACATTGGCTATTTAGTCACTGGGAAGGCACTATAAGAAATGTGTAGTACAAAAATAAAAAAAATTGACTTTTAATTGTGTCTTTCTAACATTTTTTGTATAAAACCAAAAGAGGGAGTTAAAAGAAGGAAGAACAGCTTTTTCTTTCTACCCAATTTCTAGTATAAGTTTGTTCTTTAATTGCTTTATATATATTCTGCATAGAGTTCCATGCGATGATTCGTATCTTTACTCACAGGGATGGTTCAGTCCTGGCCAGATTTTTTTATTAGACGAGTACCAGGCTCGGTATGGTGTCCGAGGCTGTTATAGACATCTGTGTTATCTGGAGGATCTTCTAGATCGTGCAGAGAAGGGTCAGATGATTGACCCGACCCTCATCCACTACTCATTCGCCTTCTGTGCCTCCCACGTCCATGGAAACAGGCAAGTCATCACCTTTCCAGCTTTGCTATAATGTATCTACTCCATAATTATTAATATTATTATTAGATAGTGTACTTCCTTATAAACAAGACACACGTGGAATGTTAGGATACTTTATAAAAATACATTTTGAAGGAGGGGTGTTAATGTTGCAGTTTAAAAACTGTAGTGTAAAGCACCCTTCTGGCAAGACAGTGATGGAGTGAATGATGGTGAAAGTTTTTCTTTTTCGGGCCACCCTGCCTTGGTGGGAATCGGCCAGTGTGATAATAAAAAAAAAAATAATAAAACATTTTGCATTCCAGGATAGATGAAGTACGATGGGTGAAGCATTTCCTCATGAACATTTCTCATAAATGTTGTGCATGAATAACATTCACATACCTGTCAATTTAAGGCATTTTTTTTAGGGAACCTTAACATTCCTTGTTAATATTATTTGTAATATAGAAAGATGAGACTGGGTCTACTAGAAAATAAGGAAAAATACAAATTAAGCTACTCACTATCTCTCTCATGTTATAGTGTTTATAAAATAGTTAATTTTCCTATTAATAAGACCAGTACTGCCAGTCGTTATGGACTGATTTTTTTTTTTTTGTGGTTACTTATGTAGATGTAAATTACCTATTTGAGTTTGTGGTGTGCATTTGTATATTTGTGTGTGTGTAAACTTTTGTCAGAGAAAAATCATGAGATGTGAGTCTTAGCCAGTTGATGGTTCGTCACTGGATCTGATGAGTATTTTAGAAGTCCTTGAGCACAGGACTGGCTTGTATTATCCACATACATGTATTTCTTAAAAAGTGTGTTGTTTTACAGTTAATAGGACATTTATCAAACTAAATCTTTACATAGAAATGTATATACTGTATATATTTACAAAAGTTGGTCCCACTGGATAGCCTGTTGCTACTTTATCTGTGTTATGAAGCTTGTTATTAAAAGTAAAGAAACAATCGACTGTTAGTTGAAGTATTTTTTTTAATTTATTTTGAGTTAAATCCTAGTAATAATAGTAAAATTACCGACATAATGTTAGGTAAATGGACACAGATGCAAGTAATGTAACATTTTATTATGGCAATGTTTCACTCTCCAGGAATTTCATCAAGCCATTACAACTTGACCAAGTTCCTGGAGAGTGAAACATTGCCACAATAAAATGTCACATTAGTTGCATCTGTGTACATTCACCTAGTTAAATCTTCAACGGAATATGCATTAGTAAATAAACTCTTAATGCAGATATTTATTTTCTCTGTGGAATATTGCTAAATAAGATCTCTATATCAAATCTGCTCCCCACTAGCCTAGCAATAACTAGTGATATGTTTGACATGATCATAAGAATTTTTAATTGTACAGTGGACCCCCGCATAACGATCACCTCCGAATGCGACCAATTATGTAAGTGTATTTATGTAAGTGCGTTTGTACGTGTATGTTTGGGGGTCTGAAATGGACTAATCTACTTCACAATATTCCTTATGGGAACAAATTCGGTCAGTACTGGCACCTGAACATACTTCTGGAGTGAAAAAATATCGTTAACCGGGGGTCCACTGTACAGATTAATGATTTACAGACACAGTCTACAGAAAGGGATTAAGACATTCATAACTGAGGTTAAATGTTCCTATAGGACTCAGAACAGGACAAAGTGGGACTCCTTGTTTATGAATGTTTGTATATTACACCAAGGATGGACGCAGAGTTATAAATTCTATCATAATTCTCTTCAGATCTGATTATTCTTCTTCAGGTCAAATTAACAGTGATTAAGTTTATCTTCTGATTTAATTATACACTCAAGTGGATCAACTATTACTTAACTAATTTTGCTTTAATCTGTAAGAATTTTATTAACTTTTTTTATGTATTCTGTTTATCAATAATTGCAACTCGTGTGATAAGGATATATTTTTTTAACGGTTGGAAGAAAATAATAATTTTGAAATTGTAAAATAAATGGTACCAGATCAACCAGGCTGTGTTGGATGTGTGGATCAGTGGACCACCAACAGCAACAGCCTGGTTGGTTAGGGTAGCACCAGACGAGCCTGGCCTGTGGCCGGGCTCTGAGAGTACGATGTATATTATTCCTTCAACCAACTTACTCCAAGACTGATGAACCTCTTCTGTAATTGAGAAATTACACAGTATACGACACAAGTTGAAAGGCTAGAAAATGGCATGGTATTATGCCTTTTTATTTTTGATTGAAAATATATTTTTCTTCTGTGGTAGTGCAAAAGGTTACCCCCAGTATACCTGGAGGGTGTTCCGGGGGTCAGTGCCCCTGCGGCGGGTCCACAACCAGGCCTCATGGTGGATCAGGACCTGATGAACCAGGCTGTTACCGCTGGCCACACATACACTGATGTATGAACCATAGCCCAGCTGGTCAGGTACTGACTTTATGTATATCTGGTGAGGGTTTCGGGGGTCACCGCTCCTGTGGCCCAGTGACGAAACATGTCTTTTCTCTTCTGTAATATTCCTGCCAGAAAGATTAGTAACAGAGTTACTGCTCTCATTATGAAAAGAAATAATGTCTAGATTTTCATATTTATTTCTAACAATTATTACTTTATTAACATTTACGTTACCTGATCTGTAAAGTCAACGAAAAAAAGATAAAAAAAACAGATGCAGGTAACTTATATTTAGTCAAAATTAAATCCTTTTGGTTTTCAGCTAAGTAACTTTGTCTAAAAAAAATTGAATTGCCATGATCTGTGTAACTTAAAAAATCTGATAAAAACCATAAAGTAGAAGAATTTAGGAATGACATTCTAATTTGAATGCTAAATGAGCTGTTGGAGATTGTTAAATGTGATGATTATTTTAAGTTACAAAACTCAATGTTAAAAACATCACTGTTAAAATGAAGTAATAATACAAAACTGTATTGACCGTTTTAGAAATAATGATTATTAGGGTATAGTGGTGATACAGTAATAAGTTTGTTTATGAATTCTCACTGGAATTTAGATATCCAGGTTGTGTTAGACATATTTGGATAACCAGGCTAGATTAGATATATTTGGATAACCAGGTTATATTAGATATATTTGGATAACCAGGCTAGATTAGATATATTTGGATAACCTGGCTAGATTAGATATATTTGGATAACCAGGTTATATTAGATATATTTGGATAACCAGGCTAGATCAGATATATTTGGATAACCAGGTTGTTAGATATATTTGGATAACCAGGTTGTGTTAGATATATTTGGATAACCAGGTTATATTAGATATATTTGGATAACCAGGTTGTGTTAGATATATTTGGATAACCAGGTTGTGTTAGATATATTTGGATAACCAGGTTATATTAGATATATTTGGATAACCAGGTTGTGTTAGATATATTTGGATAACCAGGTTGTGTTAGATATATTTGGATAACCAGGTTGTGTTAGATATATTTGGATAACCAGGTTATATTAGATATATTTGGATAACCAGGTTGTGTTAGATATATTTGGATAGGTGGTGTTTTTAAAAATATTTTTGTATCAGTCGCAACTTTTAAAATCTCTGGTAGTGAATTTTATATTTTATATCTTTTCAATTTCATTGATTATCTGCTCAGATTGAGTTGAATATGTGGAATATCAAAGGTATGCTTTTTTTTTTTTCATGTAATGTATGTGTGAATTCTAAATAACAAAAAGGCACAATACCGTGACTGGAACGATACACAAATAACCCGCACATAAAAGACAGAAGCCGTCCTGCTCCTCCTCTGTTAGTGTGACTTTGTCAATGGTCCAAATCGGACCGAAACGTCGTCGTAAGCTTCTGTCTTTTATGTGCGGGTTATTTGTGTATGTGTGAATTCTATTTGTGACTTTCCAGGAAGAATTTTAGGATAAGATTAATATTCCTGTTGAGTGATGTGTACAGTAGCAGACCTATGTTTTTGGGGCTCCGAAGCTTGAACTGTTATGGCGGTCCCTTCGCAACCCCTTCTCATACAGTAGACCTAAAATTTTAATCAATATGGAATAAAGTTGCTTCAGGGGCCCCTCTGGGATTAGGGGCCCTGAAGCTGAAGCTTCATTTGTTTCATAGTAGATCTGCCCAAGGACATGTACAGACATTGAAAATGAATAGGTACTATGGTAATAATAATAATCTTCATTTCTACAAGTACAGTGGACCCCCGCTTTACGATCACCTCCCAATGCGACCAATTATGTAAGCGTATTTATGTAAGTGCGTTTGTACGTGTATGTTTGGGGGTCTGAAATGGACTAATCTACTTCACAATATTCCTTATGGGAACAAATTCGTTCAGTAATGGCACCTGAACATACTTCTGGAATGAAATAATATCGTAAGCCGGGGGTCCACTGTACATGGTACAAGGTATACAGGCCTAGCTGACATCAATGACATACTACTGTATAGAAAACCCCTTGTTGTGTAGGACATTTTGGGCAAATTAGGTCATTTTTGTCCCAGGATGTGACCCACACCAGTTGACTAACACCCAGGTACCTACTTACTGCTAGGTGAACAGGGACGGCAGGTGTCTTTAGGAAACATGTCCTAAAGTTTCCAGCCATACCGGGGATTGAACCCCAGACCTCAATGTGTGAGTTGAGTGCACTACCAATCAAGCTATGAGACACCTTAAACAGTAAACGTGACAGTGTATGAAAGATTTCAGAAGAAAACGGCAACACTAAACGAAAAAAAACACAGTAGTGAACTAGACAGAACTTATAGCAAAATATATTTTTTCAGTGTCTCATAAACATAGTACAAAGCCTTAGCTTTTCTTTCCGAAAACCCCAGGGGGCTACAGGTACCCAAATTGTGGATGTTGTGTGAGGTACATAGTAATGTATTTTTGATAAATTGCTCACTGTTTTAGAAATTCTCTTAACTATGTGATCGATGTGATTTTTAGTTTGCTGTCACAATGTATACATAACAATTTCCTCCATCTTTCAGTGTGTTTATTATTCACCTCTGTGT